CCACTGAATGGGCAGCCAAAGGGGGAAGTAACTAACCTCTTGGCAAGGTTTGGGAGACAGTGATGCAGAGTGGATGGTCTCCGGTCCAGAGAGCCCCTGGCATCCCCCTCCTATGGGGAGATGAAGGCCACGCTCAGAGCAAGAGTCTCTGTGTCTCTGAGCAGTTCCTGGGGGAGACTTAGGCCCCTGTGTGTGTCGAGTCCACAGCATCTCACCTTGCCTCAGGCTTAGTGGCTGTAGTTATTCCATTTTTCTGAGGCCTGTTATCAGGACCCACTGGTCATTTTGACTGAGCAGGGGCCTCTCTGCACATCTGGGGCTTTATCTACCCTGCATTTTTGCATGTCTCTTTATCAATGTCTTCATGAAAAGTGGTTCCTTTTTCATGGATACCTAAGGTTGCTCTCTCAACTTTCCATCCGTCAGGCCTCTACAGTGTCAGCACATGTCATGTCTATTACATCAGGCAGGATCATCACTACATCAACCCATGTGACAAGTTAACATTTTAAGGGGGCAATTCAGCGAGCCCCAAATCTTCAGCCCCATCCACTCTAGAAGCTAGAGCTACTGCAGAGTGCCCCAGGCACAAGACAGCTTGTGGGGCAGGGTGGGGGGGAGAGGTTTGGTGATGGTCCAGGCTGTGATTTCTTTGCATTGTCCCTGTGACCCCGGCCTCCCAGGGGTTCTGATCATTGTTGCCCATTTCCATTTGGGGAAGGTGAGTCTTAGCGATGCTCTGGTGTCCAAGGCCAGGCAGACGGTGAGTGGTGACGCTTCCTAAGGCCGTGAGACTCCCGGCATGGGCTTCCCAGCCCACCCTCCCTGCCTGCTCTTCAGAACCCACAGGTCCCTGGAGTAGACGACTGCTCTGAAATTGGACTTTCCGTGTGTTTGCAAGGGGCCTTGATGAAAACTCGCTGCATTTGTTCATTTCTTGTGTGTGTGAAGAGGGCAGACTGGGGAAAGAAACAGAGAGGCTGGACCTCTAAGCATCAAGGAGCTCATCTCCCAGAAATAGCCTGTAGACTAAAGGGCTTGCAGATCCTTCAGGAACTCTGAATCTCCTGATGCCTCCTCCAGATGGTTCCCATCTCAGATTTGTTACAAGATTTTCTGAGTATGAGCAGAATAATGAAATCATTTCACATGGTGACCCAGAACACACACGTGTGTGCCGTGTAGGATTTACTCTGAACACTTCAGTGCTTTTCTTTCATTTAAAAAACATGTATTTTTAACAGGGGAGTGTAGAGCACAAGGGACTAAGGTGAGGATGCACGGGTGACTTGGTGGTGGGATTTTCCAGGGACTACACCTGAAAGGAGAAAGCAGACATTGCACAAAACAGAATAATGATGTAAAAAGTATATAAAAAAATAAAATAATTAATAATGTATATTTTAGGTCCTCCCTGGTGGCGCAGCGGTTGATCGCTGGGTTGCGAAGCTGCCCGCAGCCTCTGCAGTGCCGTTCGATCCCCGGCTGCTCCCAGGCCACCGGAGGAGGGTCCCACATGGCGCGACAGACCTCTCCTGCGCCCGCTGCTCCCCTCAGCAGTGTACTTGGTCCTTCTGCCTGCTCTGCTCCCCACTCTGGCTCTGGTGAATTCTGACTGTACCCAGTGCTTGTATAAATAAGAAATAAACCTTTAAAAAAAATATTCAACCCTTATTAAAAAAAAATTTAAAAAAGTAATGTATATTTTAAAAATTTACTACATGTTTCTCAATGAGTGGTGTGTTTATTCTTTCTTAGGTCCTTTTTTGGAGCAAAACAAAAGAACTGGCACATAGTTACCAGGGGGAGTTGCTCACCCTGAATAAAATGCTCATGGGCCACATTGCTGATGACCTCATGTGGTGTGGAGACAAAAAATCGCCTGGTGAGGGACTGACTGGACCTATTGCAGGGTGAAGAAGCCCTGGCTTAGCCAGGGCCCCAAAACATGTGCTGGGCGGAGTCCCAGGGACCCCGCCGAAACCAGTTGCCCCTCATGGACAGCTCAGGCTGGTGGAGCATTGTCTGCTTTGCCCTCGCATTTTTTTTGTAAGATTTATTTATTTATCATAAATAAATAAATTGGGGTACAGGCCAGAGGTGTGGGGGCTGAGAGGATTCACCAGAGACAGAATGGGGAGCAGAACAGGGAGACTGACCAAAATACACTGCTGAGGGGAGCAGCGGGCGAGTCAGGAGAGGTCTGCTGGGACAGGGAAATTCCCTGGCTGGGGATCAGACTGGCACTGAAGTGGCTGCGGACAGCCTCACAGGTTGTGTAGTAACTCCTTGTGCCACCAAGGATGGCCCTCGAATGTTTTCTAGAAAAATTGACTTTGGGCTTTTGGGTGCCCCTGCTCCTTGAGCCTCTGCTCTGGGAGGACAGACACAGCCGGCTTCTGAATTGTTGGGGTTTTGCTTTCTGTAAGGGCAGCGTTTAGGGCGAAAGATTCTACAGCAGGGTGAGGACCAGGGCGGGACCCACAAAGTCCTCCTTCCACAGGGCAGCTGGAGATATGGGGTGTGGGTGCAGGGGACCCGGAAGGGGCCCCTTTTGGTCTGCAACCTTGCAGGGCAGCAGCGCTGGGAGAGGTGCAGGACAGAGGGAAGACAACTCAGAGTCCAAGGGGAGAGAGAGACACGAAGAGGGGTGCACACCTCTGGAGGTGCAACCCATGCCCCCCAAACCACCTCATTTTATTGGGTATGACATTCAAGGAAGGTGGGCAGGTCTGTGGAGGAATGGGGTGGTGGGGAGGTGGATTGGGGATGCAGAAATGTCTGGCATGACTAGGGAGGAGCAGTGACTAGGGCTCCATTTGAGCTGCTGATCAAACCTCCCTCTCTCTAGACCCTGTGACACTTGACTTCCCGTCCAGGTGGTCGAGCTGGTTGTGCTCACCTGGCCATAATGGCTGCTGCTGTGTTCAGCAGATGCTGGATTTCCCGTATGTTCCTCATCCCAAGGCTTTGTCCTGGTGAGGGGCCCCCTGCCTGACTCCACATTGTAGCTTGACCAGCAGGAACTCTGGGACCAAGACTACATCCCGAGGACAAGGGGCTGGGGAAACCTTAGGTCTCTGCCATTTTTAGAAGTCGCTGTATCTTGCCAGAAAGACCCAAAACACCTTAATATGAGAAGGTGTTTTCTCCTCAGGAAACCTTACTGAGGGCCACACCAGCCTCCCCTAGTGTGCTGCGGGCCACCCCAACCCGTTTCTCTGGTTTATTTGAGGATACTGATACTGGAATGGTAGGTTTTCGGGCCTAGTCTCCCAGCCAGAACAGATCCCAGCTGCAGGGCAGCGCTGAGTCCCGGCCCCTAGACCGCCAGGGGCTGGTGTCTCCCAAAGCCTCAGCAGGAACTTCTCAGACCCTCAGGCAAGCAGCGAGAGGGGGCAGGTTTGTTTAGGGAAAGAAATCTTTTATTGAGGAGAAAAGGAACAGAAATAAAGTGGGACTCCCAGCCCATGAAACCAGGCCAGGGAGGGGCAAGGAAGCCACAGTGGAGGCCTGTCTCAGGGAATATGCACCTTCTTTCCCTGATGATTCCAAAGCTCCACCAGGGTCTCTGTGAGTGGTTAGTTCTGGGTGGTCTCGTCATGGCCTCAATGTCTCTGTGCCCAGAGCTAAGTCTCTGTGTCCCAGACCTTCTCTTTCCTCTTTATTGTCCTCAATTTGGAATGTCCTGTTGACCTTAGTACTGGGGTGTTTGATTAGTCCCCTTTGGAATTTGTCCTTTTCTTTGGAGCCTTCCTTAGCTCTCCTGAAGTCCCTGCACTGTCCTGAGGCTGCCTCATGATCCCTGACTTGCCCTAGGGTTCACTACTAGATCATGTGATGGCTGAAGGTGAGAACTTCTATTCATCCTTCCAATCTTAGGACTAACACAATAAGTGTTTGTGCAGTCAAATGCAGCGGAGAAAATGGAAATGTATATATTTTACTAATAATACATATCATTCCATTATTTAGCTGTAAAGGAAGGAAATCCTGCCCTCTAGAACAGCCTATATCAGCTTGGAGGGCATCATGCTATTGAAACAAGACAGACAGAGAAAGATAAATACTGCATGACATCACATGTGAAGTCTGACAAAACAGAAACATGAAATTAGTAAAAACAGAGTCAAAACGCAGCAGGGGCTGGAAGGTGGAGGGGCTAGGGAGAGGGTGGTGTAAGGGAACCAACTCCGCGTTACAGGATAAAGAAGGTCTGAGCGTCTGTGTGCAGCGAGGTGATGACACTTGATAACACTGTGTCATGTGATTGAAATTGGCAAAGGGAGAAGGTCTTAGATGTTCTCATGAAAATAAAAACATGCATTTTAGGTGATGCATGTGCTAGTCAACTTGATGGGGGATCTTCTCACAATATATACAGATATCAAATCATCAGGTTTTACAATCGAAATAGATTATGACTTTATGTGTCTGTTATACATTGATAAAAAGAAAATAAATGTCATTCATGCAAATATCCTTAGGCTAAGCAACACAGAAACTGTCTTCATGTTCTCTGTGGCAGCTCCCCAATGGTAGCGCTCTTCTTGATAGGGAGGGGTGTAGACATTTTACTCAGGGGGTCTGGAACCTAAGGGTGTGGGGAGAGGGAGGAGAGCTGTCAACAAGAGAGTGTTGGCAGGAGACAGAGCAGCAGGTGGCCAGAGACCGCCTGAGGGCCTAGTGTCACACCTAAGTCTTCCTGGATGTGGGAAGAGCCTGGGGCTGCTCTGCCAGGTGAGCTCTGGCCTTCATGTCCCAGCATGATGACTCAGAACTGGTCACCTCATTCCCCTTTGGTGCTTGGAGGGCAAGGTAAGGATCTGGAAGGGATTCGGGGGCACTAAGTGAAATTGGGTGGAGATGTGTCCATTCTCCTCCTCCTTGGCAGTGGGCAAATGTCTCCACCAGCTGGAATACCTGGGGAAGAATGGGGCTAAATTAAACTCTTTTCTATTTCAATTACATTTGGTAAACTGTGTCTTTTAGAAGTGAAGTATGGCCCTTATCAAGAAATGAAGGGAATCTGCCATGATGGTCCTACACGTGTATTCTGGGAAGTGGCGTCCAAATGGGTAAGCACCAGCAGTGAAATTCTAGAATTAAAGAACTTAAAGGTCAATGGTTGGATTTCTTTCTTTTTGGATCACAGGACCTTTTAGGAAAAACTATGTAGGATTCAACCTTTCCTGAGAAAGACTTTCATAAGCCTGTGCCAGAAGATTTTCACATATAGCTTTGGGGTTTCACGGAGGGTCCAGGCCCCCAGTTGAAGAGAATCCCCAGGCTTGTCCGTCCATTCTTTGACTTTGGCTGCCAGGACACTCAGGCTATTTTAATCGTCTGATCCAGGTGTTGGACAATGTGGATTCTGAACAATCCTAAGAGTCCACGTTTACAGACCACTTCCCTGCCAGGCACATTCCTTGCTTGTTCCGTGGATTCAAATCTTTCATTTTCACAAGAACCCCACGAAGTAGGTTCCATGCACATCACGTGTGTTTTACAGGTGACAGCTTGGAGGTGCAGGTAAATAAAATATCTGCTAAAAGTACAGGTAAGTGAAATGATAGCCTTGGAGCAGGGAACACGGTAATCGTGACCAAGGACACTCTACTGTTAAAAGCAACCAGCTTCCCGCCCTATTTCTGGGGGTAATTTTGTGTAGGCTGGGGACAGAGTGGGAAAAAATTCTGAGAAAGAGTGGGGGATAGAAAAGGCAGCTTTATTGAACCAAAGAGTTAAGGGAATCAGCAGGTGAGACAGAAGCCTTGGTCTGCTGTGCAGGGAGGGTCTCGGGGCGCTGTTCAGACTCCAGGCATCAGTGACTGGGTAGGGTGCTGCCTTGGGTGTGACCTGACTCATGACCTGGATCATGCACGAGGGATCAGTTTTTTTTTTTTTTTTAAATACATAATATTGATTTTTATTTATTTAAAGATTTAATTATTTATTTATACAAGCAGTGGGTACAGTCAGTAGTGCGGGAGGGTGAGAGAATTCACCAGAGCCAGAGCGGGGAGCAGAGCAGGCAGAAGGACCGAAGGACACTGCTGAGGGAGCAGCGGGCGCAGGAGAGGTCTGCACGCCATGTGGGATCCGCCTCCGGTGGCCAGGGAGCAGCTGGGGATCAAACCGGCATTGCAGAGGCTGCGGGCAGCTTCACAACCCAGCGCTCAACCACTGCGCCACCGGGGAGGCCAAGGGATCAGTTTTTATGTCAGCCCTTCTGCTTCATTTATTCATTCAAGCCCCCCAGCCCAGCGCCCCCACCCATCTCCAGCCCAACTTGCTTGCTGGGAATGACACCACCACATGCCTGATGTGCGGAGACCAGGTTATTACACCAGGATTTTGAGTAAAGGAAATATCTTTATGGAGGATGAATTGGTAAGGAGACAGGAGATCAGCTCAAAGCTGCCCCCCCAGTTCAGAAAGGGGATGAAATTATAGAGGCTTTGGAGACTGGGGTTGAGGGCAAAGGAGCGAATTTTTATTGGCTGAAAAGCACCTTAGAGGCAAAGAAATGTGGACTTGACTGAAGTTCCCTTACAACTGGCTAATTCCAAGGCAGTTTATGGATCAAGGGACTTTCCTTCAGACACCTTGAATATGCATTTCTGTGGGGGTCCCCTGGCCTCTGGGCAGCCCCTCCTCTGCATCTGCACGTGTGTTCTCCGGCTGGCCTGGCGCTCAGCTCCATGTCATTCCATAAGCCTCTAGGTCGGCTGTGTCTAAAAAGTAAACCTCAGGGAGAGGCAGGTTTCTATAGACACACACAGACAGAATGTTCTAGGGCCTGAAATCCATCTAGTGACTTACCCCAGTGACACTCCATGGAGAGATCCCCCGGGACTGCACCTTTATCTTGGCCAAGATCTCAGGGATGTGTGTCCATGACCTTCTTTCATCAGACTCCATCCTTCCGTCTCTGACACAGAGACAGTGTGGCTTGGTGGTTGCACCCCGTCTTCCTTCCTTGCTGCCAAGAGACATGACCTTGGGAAAAATTGCCCGGTACTTACTCTGTGGGGCTCTTGCTGTTTCTATATTGCGGGGTCCCTGCTCAGCACCCTGACAGCACTCCATTGAGTGACCCCTGTGACTGGTGACCCCCGCGCCACTGGCCTCTGCGCCCCACACCCGGAGGGAAGAGACACGCTGGGGTTTCATAATCCGTTTCAATTTCTCTCTACGGTGATTTACCACTTGCAGAATAAAGGCAAAGCCCGTGACTAAACATTCATGAACCTGAATTCCATGAACTGACTTATCTATTTCACTTCAGCATCCACTGAGGGGTCCCCCAAATCGCCCCTATTCTCTCAAGCCCCCTGACCTTTCTGTTGGCAGCTGCCTCCGTGACTCGGCGACATCCTGTTCATCCTTCGGGTCTTGGTCTTTGTTGCCCTCCATGACCTCTTCCTGCCCTTCCTCATCTCCCTCACAGGGAACTGCACTTCTGGCTCCTGGTTCCTTCCTTTTCCTCCCTCTGCTCCTGTGACAGAGTTTCCTGGGCGCCCCCTCTGCCAGGTGCTGCCCCGGTCACGGCCAGCAGGGTGGTCCCGACTCTCCAGGGCTCCCAGCGCTGGTGGTTAAGCTCCTCACCACAGTATGATGTTGTTAGGTCACATGGAGGGTGGGATGCTGTTGTTGCTTAGGGAAGGGACCTGAGGTGTCCCAGGGTCCTGTTGAGCCTCCTGGGGAACATGTCATTGCCTTGCGTTTGTTCTTTTTTTAATCGCCCAGACCTAGCCAGCTAAATGTTCGCTGCACGATGAACTACAACTCCTGGCTTCATAATGGTCACCATGCATTTCTCTTTGGGCCTGTCCAGGGCTCAGTGTCACCTTCTCTCCTACCTCCCTCCTCTTGGCTCCCCCAATTGCCCATCCCCACTAATGAAATGCGCAGTGTCTACACTGCAGGTCCCAGAAAGTGTTCTCTTCCTTCCCCAGTGAGTTCCCCTCAGTCTCTACACTTCCGGCTTCTGGACCCTAATTTAGCTCCCATGGGAACAATGACATTGACCTTCATTGTTCAGACACAAATTGGAGCCACTCCTTCCAGAATCCCCATGTGACGCGAAATTCCTCCAGTGTCTGGGCACGACACTCACAGACCTGACTTCACTGAGCTAGACCCACGCGGGATATTCCATCTTTCACCACCTGAGCTGGGAGCTCTTTTGGTGGAAGTGCTGGGGATGGTGCTGACGTTTGCATGGTTGAGGGATGGTGAGGTTCTGTTTTATTTTTCAGTTTGCAAAAAATGCCTGTGAAAAGGTTCATGTGTTACTCAATGGGTCCAGCAGTGAGTCTGTCGCCTACAATGTATCCAGGTACATGATTTCTGTTTCTGTGGTCAGCATAACCGCCTATGGGAAAATTTGTCTCTAAGAGGATATGATTTTTGTGTTTAAAGTCAGAACAGAAAATTTGGACTGAAAGTGTAAAACTTGAGTCTCTATGGAGATCTTTGCCTTCCTTGTTGGTACTTTTGTTCAGCTTCTCATTTGCATCAGCCCTGAAGTGGTCCTTGCTGCGTGTCTCCTCCTCCTCCTGACCTTTGTGATTTATTTCATTGTCTCTCATGACCTTCCATCTTGTCCATTCCCCATCTTTGTTCACACTGTTACCCCAGAACACCTGCCCCCCACTGTACCTTCTCTAAATTCTCTGTCCTGCAGATCTGATCTGATTCCTCTCTGCTCCATGCACAGCGTGAGACTCTCACCCAGCTGTGAAATGACAGTGGAGCAAGTCAGGCGCGGTGGCGGCTGCTGGGCTTTTATCGGTCAGGCCAGGTGTTGTCACAGTGTGTTGTGAGGGGTCCAGGTGTGGACTCCAGAGGTCACTTTGGTCGCCATGTGACCCCAGCAGGTGCCTGACCTCTGCAGCCCCCGGACTACCAGCCGGGGTGTGATGGTGATTTGAAGATCATCTGAGGTGATGCACGAACAATGTCCAGCATCTTTGCCCACAGCAGAGGAAAAGACCGAGGAATATCAGCGCTTATTCTCGTTGAATTCATCCCGGAATCCACCACGTCCGGGTCTCTGTCTCCCACTGCCCCTGCATTTACAGCTGCTTCCACCCCAGGGACCTTTTCAGTCTGTGTTCTCCATCTTCAGGGCACTCTGGTGCCCCAAATTTATTTCCCCTCTCTCCATAATATCTAACTCCTTAAAGAAGCATTGGCATTTATGTATTTTTCTGACCCCAATTTTGTGGACTTGGGGGTGAAAACATTAACATTCCCAAATTCTGTATCTGGTATTGGGGGTCCAGTATTTGCAAAAGTATTGACAATTGTCAGACTCATGGGGAAGAGTTGGGGACTGGGGTTAGAGCAGGACATCAGCGTTTTTCAAAGCAGTGCTTCTCAAGCTCCCTCTGTGTACCCTGGAGGCTTGCCTGTGCACAGCAGGGGCTTTGCAGCAGTTGGTTCTGACTGAGCAGGGAAAGCTCAGTTGTGGCCTAAGGCCACCTTTTGGAATAAGAAAATGTAAAGAATCGGGCCTCCCCTGGTGGCTCCAGCAGTTGAGTGCTGCTCTGTGAAGCTGTCCATAGCCTCTGCCACACCAGTTGCATCTTGGCCGGCTGGAGAGGGTCCCGCATGGCACAGCAGACCTCTCCTCAGGCCTGCTGCTCCCCTAGGGCCCGCTGCTCCCCTCAGCAGTGTCCTTTCCCTCTGCCTCTTCTGTTCCCTGCTCTGTCTCTGGTGAATCCTCTCACCCTCCCCCAACTGGCCTGTACCCCAGTTCTTGGATAAATAAATGAATAAATCTTCAAAATAAAAAAGAAAGAAAATGCAAAGAATCACTATCGATGTGCAGATATGAGCTCTTGTTTTGAGAACTTTGTTCAGAGGGTTGAGCTGAATGAGTACACTGGGTGTTTCTAATGCTAATTACTGGTCAGTGTCAGAGAGTAGCTTCTAACCAGTGGCCTCCTGCCTGCTGGCTTTGACAGGCACTAGGATGCCTGGTGCAGTTTTGGGTTTGGGGGTAATGATGGTTTTTGTCTCTTTCATCTCAGTGTTTTTGCAAGTGCGGGAGTCAGTAATTTGACTTCAGAGATTACAGAACTAAAGGCCTGTGTGATCCATGACCGCAAACCCAGGTATCTGTTGCTGCTTTGGACTCATATATTCTCAGGGTGATATTAGGAACTGAGCCATAAAAGAATCCCTAGTCACAAGAATGTCCTGAGAACAGACTGGGGCAGGGATGGATGGGGAGTCACTCTACCCTCAACCCAGCCCAGCCACTCTCTCTTACCTTAGTCTCCATAATAGACACCCACCTAGTTTCCACCTTCAGCTCCCCCAGCTGGGAGCTCTTAGAAGCTTCCTCTGCTCCACTCTTTGCCCAGAGCCTGGCCCAGGGCCTGCCTGCTCCTCAGAAGAAACTAAGAGATTCAAGAAATGTCCGTGAGATCTTGTCATTTTAACACTTGCCTCTTTCTTTCCAGGGACTCGTGCTCAGACGCCTCCATAAATGAGCTGAATTTGACTTTAAGTCAAAAGAACATTTCATTTACTTGTGAGGATAAGGACAGGTAATTTATTTTTTTCTTGAGGCAGGAATGGCATCTTGGTATCTGTAGGCATTTTCTGTCTGTCTGTGCTGAGTCAGGAGGTCTCATGAGTCCCTCTTGGCCTGGTGGTGATGGGGGTGAACTATCCTGATCTCCTTCCCCTCCCCCACCACCCTTCTAACTACCCCAGGAGGGTTCCCAGCCACCCTTGTCCACCTGCTCATTCTTCCCTATCTGTCCTGTCACCCCTGTTCCGGGCAGGGCCGGGGAACCCAGAACCCCCAACCTGCCGGCTCTAAATAGGCTCTGCCATCTGCCCTATCAAGACAGAACATGCAGAAGACCTGTCATGGAAAGGAACTTGGAAACAATTAGTGGCAACAAAGAGGAGGGAGAGAATAAAGTTTCCAAAGAAGCCCCTGCAGTTACCGGTCCCCTTGAGGGTAAAAGCCCAGCCAGACAGGGTTGCCCCAAGAGGGGCGCTGAGGCCTGAGAGCTGGCCCCCAGCCTACAGCTCTCCTGGTGGGGCCCATAGGAAGGGGCAGAAGGGGCTGGCAGGTCTGGAAGAAAAGGAGCAAAATCCAAAGCCAAGTCGAGATAAAGGCTGCCGTGGTCAGCCTCCCCACGGGTCTGTCCTGCACATCTTTGGCGCTTCAAGTGTCTCCTTCCATGTCCCCCAAGTCCCTGGTCTGCTCCAAGGCTGAGAAGTAAGGGCGGCTTCTTGTCCTGGGTCTCTGCTCCAAGTGCCTCCTCCAGGTCTCCCTCCTGATGGCTCCTCCCTCTCCCAGGCTCTCCAGCTGCTCCTCCTTGTTGGGCTCCTGCCTTCTCTGGGGAGCAGGGAATTGGACCCTCCCTGATCTGTGGATGCTTTTCCCCCCTCTTTCCCTGAGTCTATTCTCTGGGGGATCCCGGGCCACCACACTGGTGAGGATGGGGGATCCACACTTCAAGCCTCTGTGCCATTGGCCTTGGAATGGGCTAGAGACAGACCCGAGTGTTCAGAAGCCCGTGGGTGCTGGTCTCTGTTCTAAGGCTCCTTCTCTGCCTTCAGCTCAATCAGCCTGGACTCTCCTGTGATGAACCCCCTTGCTCCCCCTCTACCCCTCCTCCACTTGCCAGCCCCTCCCTCTGGGCCCTGGTGCTTTGTTTTCTTGTTTTTATGGAAATGAGAGTCACTCACCAGCTAGATCCCCCTGGGGCTGCTCTGTGCAGAGGAGGTGAGGTCCTCCTGCTCCTGCCTTCTCCAGAGTCTGGAAACACTGCCGCTTCTCAGGCTTTGGCTCCACATTCTCTCAAGAAGCTCCTGAGGAGAAGAGAGCAGGTCATCAACAGATAACTTGGGCTCCCTCGTCTCAGGGTGCTGCTTTTGCTGTCCTTGCTCATCAGTTGATGTTCAAGCCAGGAGCTGTGACCTGTGAGAGCCTGGAGGTCATCCCCCCCCCCCCCCGCACTGTCATCAAACTCCCTTTACAGTATTTACTTCTCATTTTATTTCTCACTCCTGACTTGGCCCTTCTCTGTGTTGTCAGGAGATGGGGTGGGTGCTGCGGGGCCCATGGGTTCTTTAGTTACTAATGAAGGGGTTTTTTCATTGGCAAATTAACCAGACTCTTTCCTGAGCTGCCTCTTGATCTCCATTTTTGTTTTCTTGTCACAGGGAGACATTTCTTGAATGTCTGAAAAATCGTGGGGTTTCACAGTACAAATCTGTATTACGGGACAGTGGCGTGATCGGTTTAATTGTTGCACTCTTGCTGTCCATCAACCTGCCTGACTCGGGAGCCACACTGGTGGGGAGCTGAGGATTTCAGGGGAGCCCCTCTCATTTCAACAGTGGAAAAGACCTTTCTCTGCAGTCTTACCATAGCTTTTGTTTTGATGTCGTAATATTCACGAGAAATCATTGTATAATATTAGAATGAAAATGTTATCCTGAATTATTTCATTTTAACTTTCCTATGAAGGGTTTACGTTGGGTATCTGTGGCAGCCTCCTTTATAAAAATGAGCCCATTTTTCAGTATGGTGCATATTGGTGCTGTCAAGTCAAGGAAGACAAACACCCAAGCTTTCCAGAAAGTGTCACATTCCACACGAACAGCCTTGTATCCGGGTCCATTTTGAACCCTTTAGGATCTATTGATAGTCAGACTATAAATGCCACGATCATGGTCATGTGGGAAAAGTCGTGTGTGAGCTTCCCAGTGCTGGTGCACTGCACAGTGAGGTTGATGTTATTATCTTCCATGTGTTAGATGAGAAAATGGAAGTGCAGAGAGATTCTATCACTGGCCTAATGTCATAATTTAGTTCAAGGAAGAGGATGATTTTGAACTCGGGTCTGTGGGACTCCAAAGTACATGTGCTCTCTGTTTTGAGGACTAACCCACAAACTTAATGTGCCAGCCCCACTGGGTAAGACAACCTCAGGGCTGGAGCCCAGGATTTCTGGCTCCCAGGCCATTGCCCTTAACTCGATTCCCTGGAGTGAGAACCTGACATGTGTGATTATTACTATGTGGTTGAGGGGAGCAGGGAGGGAGGTGACAAGAGGTATGTGACCTTGAGGAACCAGAAAAGAAGAGAAAAGTCCCCACCGTACTCCCACTCATAGCTTGTCCTCATTAGCCAGCGGTTCCCTGGGCTAATCCCCAGAAGCCCCAACTGAGGGCCTCTCTTCGTCCAGTCCTGGGGAAAACAGTGGCCGTTGCCTCTGGGTTGCCAGGTGACCAGTCAGGTCTCAGAGTCCCTCACAGCACACTGTCCTGTGCCTTAATCAGATGCTGCTGTTTTCAGTTCCATGGAAAAGAAAATGTGTTATTTTAAAGAAATGGCTTTTTACAAATATAAAAGTAATAGTGGCTACTCACTTGAAAAAAATTTAAACATTATAGAAAAATTGAGAAGGAATAAATGTCCTTATCTCTATGCAAAGTAGTAGACTTTTCTCTGTATGTTCACAGACATTTTCCTATTTCAGCTCATGGGGCTCTGTTGAATGAGGAATGCAATCAAGGGCAGAATTGTTAAACTGTAGATTTTACCCTTTGTTGATAAAAAAAAATAACAGCTATTTATTTTCCCCCAAAATGGTCTTATTTGGGAAGAGCAGAAGTATTTGGGAAACGCAGGCCATGGTGGAACATTGGCCAATCCAGAGAGGCAAAGGAAAGAAGCTTTTCTAGAGGAGAGGATGGAATCTGGGGGGGCTGTTCTAGATGAAAGTCCATAGGAGGAGAGTGAGCAGGAGCCCAAGGAGGTGGCAGCTTGTCCTTGGACGGGCTTCAGAGCTTCTGATTGGTGGAAAAGTTACTGGGCAGGATGAGTCTTTTTTAGTAGAGTTCTTCCATTTGGAAGTGCAGGGATGTGCTCCCTACATTACTAATGTTATTTGAAAGGACTGAATTCCTTTAGCTGCTGTGGGCCCAGCACCTAAAATAGCTCATGGAACACAGTCGGCGCTTACTAAATATTTGATGCACAAATGGATGAATAATGGAATGAAAGAAAAAAGATTTGCTTTAAAGTGTGATCTCCGTGCACAGTTTCCAGCGCCTCTGAGAGGCTGCAGGGCGTGGCGCTATGTTGGGGTGAAGGCTGCTGCTTTTCCTGCCACCTGTGGACAGCCTGTCCCCAGGCCAGTGTGAGCAGCCTGCCTCCTTGGCACCCAAGGAGTCCACTTCATGGGGTGTGGATGCTGGGACACAGGACACATATGCTGACTCTAAGACATTGATTCCAATATTTAATGTAATAACAAAGAAGGGGATCTAGTTAGTGAACCTGTAGTAGATACCGGATGGTAGAATAGTAGGATCATCTAAAAGAGGGGGTGGAACCATCAGAGGTGATAGGCAGAGTCCTCATGGTGTCTTGCCAGGAGAAGAAAGCCAGGTGCGCAGTGGAGAATACAATACATTACGCTTTTGATGGCACAGCGCAGGCTTTTCCCTCTGTGGCTGGGTATATGTATGGATGCTGCCTTTTTATGGATGTGGTGAAAGTGCAGCAACAGACAAATATTGAACATAGTGTGGATTTGTTCTGTTAGACTTTCACTCATGCATTTTATTATATTATCAAAAGCAAATATCCTTTATAGAAGAGATTACTTTTATGACATGGCTTTGCTGTTTTACCTTACAAGCTACAAAGTCCTAGTATTAGGTGGCTCAGTCTAATCAGCATCAGTTGGCAAGTTTCACTACACTCTACGTGACTGGGGGCCTTGCATGATATTCAGATAAAAGAAAGTTCACACTCCGGGCAAGGGAGTGGGGGTGGCAGCTGAGAGTTCAGGGAAATGCGGTCCCAGGGAAAACCAACATTCCTCATCCCATTTTCATATGATTTCATGTAGATCTGGGGCTGTGAGAACAACTCTGTGAATCCAGTCTGGAAAGGGTGGACTAGAGTCATTCATGTATTCATTCAACAAACACTGATGGTCATCAATGCGTCCCAGGATACTAAGAGAATAAACTTCAATTCCTGAGGGTGAAATACTCAGAGGGTGTGCTCCAAGGCCGGGGGTCCAGATCTGAGCCTGTGAGATCCGGATTGCCTGAGATCAGGACATCCACTGACCTTTGTGTGATTCAACTAGGAGGGTACATAATTTGGAGATCTCATTCAGTTTGGGAGCTGCATGGAGCCAGGAACGGCTTGTCATATTAAGGAGAGCAGAATTCTTAACAGGAGTTCGCAGGGAAGGGAATGACATCTGTGAAGATACAGTGACAAGGCAGAGCCTGGGCTGGTGGGGACAGAGAGAAGGCCAGGAAGACTGGCTTTTGGGAGGTCAGGGAGAGCTGTTCCCTAGATGCTGGTGGAGCAGTCAGGGGTTCACATGCTTGAGGGCTGCATCTAGATCAAGTCTAAGGGGTGAGGTAGTCCAAGGCTATGTCTACCATGGTAAGGGAAAGGCACTCTCCTCCCTTAGTGCAGAGAATGGATATAG